GAAGGAGAGACGATAGCAAAAAGAAACAAGGTGTTTAGTAGAAAGTGAAACTAACGCGAGCGCGTCTTGTATTTCTCATAAAACTCTTAATTAAGAAAAAGTCCCGTCTATTTAAATCTAAGAAGACTCTCAAATACAAATTAATGTATTTACTATGACAAAATGAAGACAAAAATTCGGCACAGTTCATAACAAATTCAAATCGACGAATTATATATAATATTAAGCACGTCTATTTTACTTTCTACACTCAGAAACAGACATATTGAAAATCAAGAACTAATACTCGTATCGGGTTAAAGATTGAGATTGAGTGACTAATCCAAGTAAAGTTTACTCGATATTGACTTTTTTCTGATTAGTTAAAAATATAGAATATGTGTTACAACTCAAAGCATTACTAAAGATATAAGAATTTCATAGATTCTTCTATGTATTATTACATCTGAGTATCTGGTGAAAAATTTGAGCACAATTTTTTTATTGGTTTATTTAATTTTTTCATTTGCTTCAATTCTTATGTAAAATCACGTTTTGTAATACTTGTTTGCAAATTTAATGGGAAAATAGCTTTACGAATTAGATTAAATTTGTTATACATAGTAAAACTCTGTAATAAACACTGATGCAACAAAAGTTCATTTGGATCCACTTATACCCATTTCCAACAGATTAAATTTATTCTTGGTTAATTTACTTTTTATCTTTTTTTAATTCTTAAAACTAGAAAAAAAATAAAGAATTGTTATAAAGTTAAACTGAGATTAAAGTTAATGGAAACAAGCGTTTTGCTCCTCAAAATAAATTAATCACCTAAAACATGCCAAAAAAATGTTTATTACACTGTATAAACTGTTACAAGCCAAATATTTTGTTTTTGGTTTTTTTGATAACTTTTAGCTGATATTAATTACCAGCCAAAACATCCTTAAATTCAATCTCAATCTTTACTTTGATACGGGCATAAAGATTTTATATTTCTTTTATTTAGATTTACTTTGATAAAAATATGTTTATTTACTTTTATGAGTTAGTGCCATTGACGTCTGGAGACGTTATATACATCTAGTACAAAATACGATGTGAAGTTGTTCGCGAATGGTGCAGCGCGCAGCTTGAGCGTCGACTAAGAGCGTTAGTCGCGTAATAATTTAATCGTGTGGAGATGGTGCGCGCACCCGTTACATCATCGCGTCGGTCTTGAACGCGACGCTAATCTCCCGCGGGGACACGTTTTGTTTACCAACGGCGTGCGACGGTGTGGCTCCTCGCAACGCTAGGCGAGGAAGTGAGACGAGGAAAGGATGGAGAGGGGAGGCGCGGGCGGTTAGTGGTGGCCGGCAGGCGGCACGACGACGGACCGCGTGGTAGGAGGCTGCCGCGATTCAATTTCAGTCGAAGCGCGTCAGGCAGACTGAGCGAGTGATCGCCGAGGCAGCGAGAACGAAAGAGTACGAGTACAGGCATTCTCCTTGCCGTGTTTCGATATTTCGATATTTCGAATTCTCGACGGCTCGACGAAAAGAGAGGAAAGAGAGGAAAAATAGAGGCGCGCTCGTGGCTCGTGCTATGGCCCGCATGTCGCGCGTGGTGCCTGCAGGTGCATGAACGTGGCTACGTGTGACTGTGGCTGTGGGTCGTCGGCTCCCTGCGGCTCCCTTCGCACGTCTTCGTCCCTCCCCTCCCCTCCCCCCTCCTCTCCTGCCCGTCTAACTCCAGTCCATTCGCATTCACGCTGATTCGCGCGAAGAAGGCTTGTGTGCGTGAGTGTGTACTTTAGCTGCTCCAGCATCCAGTGGTTGGTTTTTATTACGTCGCGCGCGTTCCGCGTTCGTTTAGTGTACGTCGCGAGATCCAATCTGAGATTGTCATCTGGATTGTTATTCAAACGCGAGATACTTCCAGGAGTTCCGAATCGCGGGAGAGCGTACGCGAGCATACGAGCGTACGTTTGGTCTTTCTCGGTGATCGCGGGCCGATTTTGAAAAATGCAAATGGCGGCGAAAACGTTGGAGCATTCGCCACACCACCAGTCACACCGGCTTATGCGGACGAGTGGTCAGATGTGAGTGAAATCGTGTGTGACGGGAAATTTAATTTCCAGGGTGAGAACCTGGCGGCGAGTTCGAGATGGACATTGGCGAGGACACGACGTTTATTCGAATAATCACGTAACTGTAACGGTGGCATCGGGTATACGTGTCAGTGTCACCATGAGCAGTGAGAGTGGCTGCTAGGAAGGACAGGGATCCTAATCGGACTGCGCCCGATCGAGAATGGAATTCGGGGGCTACAAGGGTACCGGACCCCACATCAGGTTGCGTCGTCGCTCGAAATTGGGCAGACGGCTCACCAGGAGGCTGTCCCTCGTTGCGAAAATGCCGGCTGCGATTCTCAGCAGGGCGAACCCACCGGAGCCAAGACCGGTCGAGATCACGGCGATTGCACCTGACAAGACGCAGCTCACGGTGAGTAAAGTGCTCTGTTGACTCATAAACATGCCCGCTGATATCGCCTGGCCGATAATCCTTCCTAGACATTCAATCTTATGTATTCGTAATTGAAAGATTTGGTATCGGGAGTGAGTCTTATATGAGTGTTCGATATATTTAACAGATATTTAATTAACTAATTAATGATATCGAAATAAATTGCGTATATGTAACATGTATATGGATTCCATGCATAAATTACAAATTGTCTTGTAAGTTTTTATACAGGGTGTCATTTTGTCAAAAATGCTTGTGTCTATAAAAATTGTTTTTATCCCATATTTGTTATTTATATATTTATATAAATATTTGTACAGAGTGATTCATTGTCAATCTTAACAGGCAATTATTTTTCAAAGATATGTAATTTTTTGTACTAAAAAACACTTCAAATAAGAGTTGTATAGTACTTTTATTTGGAGTTTTTTTTTTTTTTTTTGGTAAAGTAATTTTTACAATATTTACCTTTTAAAATTACAGTGAATCAACCTGTATAAATAAATTTAAAACACGTTTTATGCTAGAATTGCACGCGGGAATCAAAACAATTTTTATAGGTAGGTACAACTATTTGTGACAAAATGAAATCTTCGACCTCGAGCACTATTCCGCTCGTTGCGAACTGTGAAAGTATTTCCGATGTAATTATAAACAGAACCGATCGCTGGAGAATATATCATTGTCACGGTTTTACTTGCTCGCCGTTGACGTTACGAAGAACACAAGCATAAATTTGTGGCAGGAAGCCGGCGCAAATTCCAAGATAGAAATCAAAGCGTCATCGGCTTCAGCGATTAATGTAGCGGTACAAATATATCGAGTTTACATATTATATGTATATACAGGAGTAAGCCCGATGTTACCTTCGGTATTTAATGTTCCCTCTGCAGGGAAATTCTTTACACTTTTCATTCTCGTATCTCGCGGTCCGTTGATTTGTACCGCTTTCGCGCGCACATTGTCAAATATATTCTCTTTGCAAAGTTCGCATTCCGCTTTCAAAATCATGATTGACATAATTCATACAATCAGATTTCAGACATGGCGATAAAAAGTACACGTCGACAATTAAATATGTGTATTGCGAACAAGAGGTTGCAAGCGCGAAAAGTAAGAGTCGCATCAATTATTATTACACTGTGAAAAAAATGTAACTAAATCTTAATATGTATTTTTTTTCATAGTACTGATTAAACGTTTATTTATAGTAAATCAATATTTATTCATTAAAAAAGAACTAAGTTAAAAATCAAATTAATGATTCTTGTACCGAATAAATACATGTTTACATTTAATAAATATTTACCTAGTGTTATTTAAATAAATAACTTAACATGATGTAAAGAAGTATTCTTAAATAAATATTTATTAATATTTAGCACACATTTTATCAGTGTACACATACCTTAAATACGAATGCCGCATAAAAATCCTGAATCCCGAAGGAAGTAAAATATATAAAGAAAACCGGAAAAAAAAAAAATTACAAAGAAACATTGAGATTTTCGTCGGGATCAATATACACGTATTCTCACGGCTCTTCCTCAAGTGAATCGGATAGAATTATTTCGCGTGACGCGGATAAAAAGAGCACTGCGGATGCGTGCGAATTAATGCGATGTAACGTCGTTTTCACACTTGCTCTTTCGCGCGGTGCACGCGAGGAAACAGTTTTATCCGGGTGCCATCGAGGAGAGAAATAAATCTCCAGCCTCCCGATATACGTGTCGGCTTCCCTCGCGCGTTTCCGCCGCGGATTGCGATGAAGGAAGTGCCGGATACATGCCCAATCGCGGGCGAAGGAAGCGCGTCGTGTATACACGCGTATTGCGTCGTACACGCTCAACTCCGACGTCTTTACGTACGTAATCGGTCGTAAGAAGGAAAGCGCGATCGATGGCTGGAGCTTTCTATCCACGCGCGAAGTAATGAGCGACGTGTCTCTCTCTCTCTCTCTTTCTTTCTTTTTTTCTCTCCTTTTTGTCTCATTCTCAAACTGGGTCAACGATTTAGCGTGGGTTTATGCAAAATTGATTCGGACTTTATGGCGTACGTGAATGTATTCGTCGATCGACGATTATTGCAGTCGCGATTACGACTTCTCCTTTTTTCGAACTCTTCCAGATTTAATCTATTTGGGCAAACTATGAAAAAAAAAACAGAAGCATTCGAATGTGTTTCCTGAATCACACATTAAAATAAAAATGTTTTTTGAATACTTGAATACAAAAAATTTTGAAAACTTAAGTGGAACAGTTAGAACAGTGTCCTTATTTCTGACTTTTTCGAGTCTAACAATATTATAGAGAAATTACATCTGGAAATTTGGGTTTTGTATCACGTATTTGTGACTTCAGGCACATACATTTATCGAATAATTATTATACAATTTATAGAGTTACGTTTATATCATGCGAAAATTTATGAAAATTTGCAGGTGACAAGTGTAATTTATCTACGAAGGAAAATTGTGCAGAAATGTAAAATGTTAAGATTTAATATAAAATTTATGCAAGAAGCAATGTATGTTTCATATGTATTCAAATAGACTCACTTTCACGAAGAATTAATTTTTTTATCTTAAAGGGCAGGTTGTTGAAAATAATTCTACGTAATACATGTCAAAGGAGTTGCGACGTACAAAACCTACGAATCAAACACGAGCTAATTTAGATCACTTTGTAATAATTAGCACGTGTGTCGGTGTGGTCGTAATAAAAATAATCAAGAGACGAGTTAACGGTATCGAGCTATACACCTGGGTACTTAAAGTAGATTGCCGTTTCGCAATTCACTCGTAACTCTAAACGTACGGATAATTGCGACGCGGCTACGCGCCGACGCATTCGAGCAAAAGAGTAAAAGTCCGTGGTCAGTTAAATGCCGATATTCAACCGCAAAGGGTTAAAGGAGATTCCTTACACAGCGCGCACGTGCATTTGTGTATGACACGAAACGATAATCGGCAATATCATCGCTAATACCGCGGACCGTTGAGCCGACGAGCTCTTGGCGAGATCCCTCTCGTCGATCGCGTGATAAGTCGTGTGATTTATGTCGTAATTACGCCCGATTATGTCTGCGTTTGCGTATATTATGCGGGCTGTCCTCGGAAAATAATTTGTTACGATTTCTCACTGTTTCCCCCGCCTTATCAGCCAAAGATTACTATATGTTATACACGCAAATAACTAGCTGATTAAAACTACTTTTCCATTCTATGAGAAGATATTGCGTCTATTCGGATTGCAATGTAAATTCTTAATTGAAAATAGAGAAGTAATAGTTTGAAAATTTTTTCGAGAATATTATGTTGGATTTGAAAGAAATTGAAAATATTAAGTAGTTAAATGTATTAGAAACGTACTGTTTTTTGCATAACAAAATTGAAAACAATATTAGGAGATGTACTTTTGTTAATCGCATTTTTAATTACTATATTGGTTCTTCCATTTTAATATAAAGTCTGTTCCGCAAAAATATCAAACGAGACAATATCGTGTACCATTCTTGATGACAAGTTAAGGAAATATTCTAATCTAGAGCACGAAAATGTGATATAATTGTGTTTAAAGTTTCAAATGCAGTTATAATTAAAAAAATAAAGATTTCTTTCTATTATTAACGATATACCGGGATCACAAAAAACAAATACTTCTTCTAATTCGGAATGCTTATATTTTTCATTTTTCTCCAATCTACGATAAGATGCCTTTGAGCATTGACATGACAGAGTGCATTAAATGGCTTATACGATACACTTAAAAATATCTATGTCTTTGGATGCGTTCCGAGTTACGCATGAAGCGCGTGATGTATCATTAGTGTTTGTTGTTTACTAATTAATAAAGAAGGATAAACCGATATACATGCGCACACTTTATTATTTTGACGAATGTCAATAAAATCTTTTAGTATCTAATTTTCGAGATTTCAAATATTTAAAAAATAAGTAAAAAAGAGAAGAATTAATATTTTGATAGAATAGCGTTTCTAGAATAGCGTGTGCTATGCTAGAATAGACGTACTTTTAAATCTCCGTCTGATCTTTGCAGCTATTTACAAAAGTATTTGAAGTATCCTGAAATATTGGCGCGTAAAACGTAAGGAGGCGCTCGACGTTTCTGCAGTCGTTTAATTAGTTGTACAATTATGTCGTGTTGCCCTGGCGACGGAAAGCCATTCCCGATGAATTATATGGCGCATAAACAGCGTCATGTGCATGTAACAAAACGCATAAGATATCTTGATGTATTGCGGATAAAGATAATCCGTCTAAAGTATAGCAGAGATTTATGAAATGGATCACACATACATATGTATATTACTTCTTATATGTATTCTTAACTTTTATGTTTATTCCGCATAATTTTCCGTCGCAAATAAATGACATTTATCTTCTACTTTTTTATAAATTTGTGCAGACTGAACAAGTTCGATGAAAGTATGTGAAGTCTATATAAATGCGGGTATTCTATAATGCGGCGTAAGGTGTTTTTATATCGGTCATAGAAGGGAGAGGGGATATCGTGCATCCTTTGCAGACGTTATTTTTTTCGGCTAAATCGACGCGAGGAATACTTAAAGGTTATTGACTCGTCGCGAACGCGAAATTCACTTTCGTTTCTCGAGGAAAGTAACGATATTAATCACATTGTTTCTTGATCATATCGTGTTGATTATGTCTTCGATTTTTTTCACTTGTTTAACTAAAAAAAAAGCCATCGTGAGTTATGGTAGAAAATCTTTTTATTTGCATATATACGTACGTACATATATTTTTTTAAATTTTAATTACTTCCTTTCGAAAAATGTTATTAGCAATATAATCTTGAATGTAAATTTGCACGCGTTGAAACTTTTAATATTCGGATTTTAATTAAAACGAATTAGTTATCAGCGAGTTAAAACTCCTAATGATCGCAATTTATGTTCTTATTGCATACACATACCAACGAAAAAAACATGGATCAGTG